AACCACTAGCCTGACTTGTTTTCTCTTTTATTTTTTTTGATGAATAAACTGATAACTCGTAGGTTAGATTTTGAACTATATGTGTGACATGTAATAGTTGTGTAAAATCGTACATGTAGGCACATGTACTCACATCTTTTATAAGTAAAAAAGTATAAATGTATGTACATGAACCCTTGTACACATTTATACTTTAAGTTTTTTTAGTGGGGAGGGGATACCAATTCTGGTTCTGGCTTCCTAAGGTGATATATTTACATTTGTTGAGATTTCCTTCTGATAGATATTGATTGTATAAGAAGTATATGCATTTATTATCCATTTACTACTTCTCGGTAGTAGTCATAAAATCGCAGTTATCTAATATGAAAGCTTTTATTCCAGGTCCAGTGGCATTGCAGAGCACGGATGGTTGCAGGAGCCAATTTTTACATTGTGGGACGAGACCCCGCTGGTATGCCTCATCCAGAAACAGGGAAGGATCTGTACGAACCAACTCATGGTGCCAAAGTGCTGACAATGGCCCCTGGCCTAATCACTTTGGAAATAGTACCATTTCGAGTTGCAGCTTACAACAAGAAAAAGAAGCGTATGGACTACTATGACTCTGAACAGTAAGTTTTACATTCTCTGCACAAATCTGTGAAACACCTTGTGCCCTAATCTGCACCCAGGGCCTTAACATATTGTCTCATCTTTACAACAGCTTTACTGATAACAGCTTTGTTGTACCTATTTCAGAGAAAGGCAAACCAAGAAAACTAATTTTTCAATATTCCAGAACTAAAAATTGAATCTGGTTTCATGGTTCATGATTTGGGGAGTTTTACTCTGAAGCATTTGAGGGCAGTATTGACATTTCTGTGCCTGCGATATCTACTGTATCTTAATGAGCATATGGAAGTGGCCTAAGGACTCAGGGTGATTAATTATTCTGCTAAGTCCAGGGCATCTGTGTTGTGAGGGAGTTTAATATTCTTGCAATCACTGTGTGAAAGGCACTGTCCCAATTGCTTTACAGATATTAAATTAATTATTTCCAACACAATCTTACGTGGTAGGTGCTGCTGTCATCCCCACTTTATAGATTGCAAGCCGAGGCATGCAAAAGCCAAATAATTGTATAAGGTCACAGAGCCGAGAGATGGCAGCCCAGCAGGTGAACCCAAGCACCATGGCTCCAGAGCCTGTGCTCTTGACCACTAAGAGTGCCATTTCTTTCTTCAGATATCTTGGGAGGGTCAAAAAACTCACAAGCTTTCAGCACAAATTATTGGTAGTATTGAGCATGGATTTTGTCTTCCTTTGACTGATGAAATTGTATTAATTTCTATCTGTGGGTGATCCCAATAGGTAGCACACTCCGTCACTTACGAGTGGCCCTGAGTCTCCAGAATCTGAAATCATGGTTTCCTGCCCATCCCTGCTATGTCACTTGAAAGCCCTGCAGGATCTCTGGCCTTGTTTCCTCATCTCTAGAATGATAGCCGTGGACAAGGTGATTCCCTCCTAGCTCAAAATTGTAGTTCTTTCCATGCTCTATCTGTAGCAACTAGTTATTTTTATGTCTTGGTAGGTACTTGTACATATGAGTTGTTTTCTTGACTGATGCTTATTTAGTATACCTGCTTTTTTTTTCTAGTGCGAATTATAATTCATGTTCAGCAACTAGAACAAATAATTAGCTTTTATTTATGTTTTATCATTGTGACCTCTACTGACAGGTACTAATTGAAAATTGACCGCAGTCTGATAACCTCTCATCTGAGAGCTCTCATTCTTTTTGCTATGGCGCTTTACTGTTGCCTCTGTGTTCAGGAATGATCTTGACCCTGACCGTGTATCGTCGTTTGGTGTGGTCTATTTTGTAATGGGGACAAGAAAAAAACAAAGAAACCTTTTAAAAAATTAAAACATTTTGTTTCTAAAAGAGACAAAGTTTGGTGTTATTTGATTTCTTTGAGAGAAATGATAAGTTGTCTGGATAAAGAAAGACTATTATCAGTAGAGTCAGAGGAATCTGTGGGCTGCTCATTTCATGATGTAAATAATTCTGGAGAAAATGCACAATTTTAGATGATTGCAGGCTTTTCCAAGTGGTGAACTGTAGCTAAAATACAGGAAAATCTTGAATCAATGAACAGAAAAGGCTTATGTAAGTGGTGAAGGCCAGCATAAAAGAACTAAATGTTCCCTATGGCGTAGGTGTGGAATTCAAGACAGGAGCAATTCTAGACTATTATTTTTTGAACATCTGAAATGTGGCCCAGATTCCAGTATATTTCTGAACCACACCATGAGAAGAATTTGCAAAAAAAACAGAACATTTTTAACCTTGTACAAAATCAGACTTTGCCAACACCTAGAAATAGATCTAAATCATGGCATGTTTAGTTTTATTTTGGTCTAAAAATTGTGTGTGTGCACGTGTGTGCACACACATGTATATAGATCAAACAATTAAAGTTCGTGAGCTTTCCACCATGTATGTATGTATGTACATGTATGTATATACACACACACACATGATTTCTCTGTCTTACAAAAATGTCTTACAAAAAAAAGTGGTGTGCTATGAGTTGTAAATAGACCATTCTACCAAAGGTATGCCTTAGAAGCTTTGAAAAAAAGAATTTTAAGAAAAATAAAAGTATAATTATATTAAACCTTGAGCTATATTACCACAGAAGGTGATTGAAAGTAAAAATTAAATATTAAGGAAAGTTAAAAAAGTTTTGACTATAATCCTGTCCTTTTGTGGTTAAAATTATGTAGGGTCAAAATGAGAGATTCTAACTTACAGCACTCCTCTCCTTTTTCAGTTTTGCTTTCCGTGACTTCGGTTACCTGCTCTCAATTGTGGTCTGAAAATATTAAATGGAAAATTCCAGAAATAAACAATTCATAAGTTTTAAATTGCACACCATTCTAAGTAGTGTGATGAAATCTCACGCCATCTTGCTCTGTCCAGTGTATCTGCGCTGTATATGCTCCCTGCCTGTTATTCACTTAGTAGCCATCTCAGTGATCAGACTGACTGTCACAGTATCACAGTGCTTGTATTCAAGTCACCCTTATTTTACTTAATAATGGCCTCAAAGTGCAAGAGTAGTGATGCTGGCAATTCGGATAAGCCAAAGAGAAGCTGTAAAGTGCTTCCTTTGAGTGAAAAGGTGAGTACAGTACAATCAGGTAATTTGAGAGACAAATTGAGAGAGATCACATTTGCATAGTTTTTATTGTTCGCATAGTATATTGTTATAATTGTTATATTATTGTTGTTCATCTCTTACTGAGTGTAATTTATAAATTAAACTTTATCATAGGTATGTATATATAGGAAAAAACGTAGTTTATATCAGGTTCAGTATTATCCGTGATTTCAGGCATCCGCTGAGGGTCTTGGAACATATCCGCCATGGATAAGGAGGGACTACTATATTTAGTCTGGGGAGTAGCCTACACATTGGTAATTCTTATTGAAAGCTCCCCAACCGAGAACCCCCTAGGAGGGTAGTGTTACCTTTCTGCAAGTTTATAAGACATATAGTGTCAGACATGGAATACTAGGCCAGGCAACCCTGTGTTTCTCACCCAGCATGCCATTTGTTTAATTCTATAGAAGACATTATGAACATAATTTGTTTTGAAAGTAATAATCAGTCAATTATAGAGTGAGGAGAGAAAAATACAATCATTCAGCTAGTGTCCAAATACTTAAAACTGAGGTGAGTTTCCATTTTGATGAGTTAAGGAAACAAAACCAGACTTGGAGATTTTCTTTTACACGTCCCTTGTGCCAATATGTTTCGTTACTGTGGCTTCTCTGTAGGATCATCTGATTTAATCACACACAGGACCCTAAACCCCATCTGTCTGTAGTTACTTGACTGATGTGCTGAGAGGGCCTTGATAACTTTCATGTTTTGTTAAATCTGTGTAGTATTGCTTTAAGTCTCTCTTTTAATCATTCAAAAGCTAAATAATTACATCAGTTCTCATAAGATTTTCCAGTGATGAATTCTATATTAGTTGCATGAGTGGCTCATTTTCTTGGAATTTTTTTGAGTTAGCAAATCTTAATAAATTGTAACTTGGGGAGCTTTAAAGCTGCCTTCGTTTTCTAATTTTTATATTGTGTTCAAATGTAATTAAGTTGATGGGAATATGTTGGAAAGTGATTAAAATTTTATGGAAAGGCGATAGCCTTTGATGTAGTGAGAAAACAGTTATTAATTATGGACATATGAGGTTGTCTTATGTTTGATTAATGGGCATTATTCAATGCCAACATTTATGTAATTAATGATTTTGTAGCTTTTGATTTGAGTAAATACCAGTGTAAGACAAGGCTTAGGGAGAAAAAACAAACTTCATGAAGATTTTAGGCAAGATATTATTGATAGGAATTATGATAAAAATCATCTGTTTGTACTTAAGAAGTTAAGTAGGTTCGTGTTAGCTATAATAGTGACTCAAGGAAGTTTAGTTTTAGGACTACAAGATTAAAGCCTGTTCTTTCAGATATTACAAACAAACTTTTAGAGATAATTCTTTTGTGTGTGTGTGTGTGTGTGTGTGTGTGTGTAATTTTTCTTCTTTATGCAGTAAATCTTTGGGTAAATGTAAAATTATGGTTCATATTATTGAAATAGCAACTAATGAAAAGAGAGCACATGTGAATGAGAGTGCCTCATGGAAATGGGTAAATGAAGGGACAGGTGCACATAAATGTTTGCTGTCTAGTTATGTCCACATTGGCAATACACTATTTCTTTCATACTTTTTTTTTAATGCTGGAGTATACCTTAAATCATGTACTATTTTGTGTCATTTTTAAAAACATTCTAATTGTAAGCATCCTTCAAGGCCTTTTCATATATTCTTCCTTTCTTTTATATCCTTTTCACAGACAGCTCATCTATTCCAGTGGCGTCTGTGTGGCAGTTCTTGAAGCTGAACGAGCATACACTTCAGTGTTTCCAAGTTGCTAATTGTGTTAGCTTTCTATTACCGTGTAACACATTCCAACAAATTTAGTGGCTTAAAACATTTCTTACCTTACAGTTCTTTAGATCAGAAGTCTGGGTGAGCTAGACTTGATCCTGGCCAGGCTGAGCTCCTAGCTGAAGGTTCTAGAAAGAATCCACTTCCAAGATGATCCTTGTTGTTGGCAAAATTCAATTCTTTATGGATGTGGGACTGATGTCCCTGTCTTCTTACTAATTACTGGCTGAGGATTGCTCTCTGATCCTAGAAGCCACTTTTAGGTCCTTCCTTGTGGGCCCCTCTATCTCAGCAGTAAAACCTCCCTCGTGGTGAGTCCTTCTCATACTTGGAATCTCCCTGACTTCTCCTTCTATCAGCCAAGAAAATTCCTCTACTTTTAAAGGGCTCGAGTAATTACGTTAGACCCACTCAGATAATTTCACTATTTTAGGTCAGTAGGTTAGTAACTAATTGCATCTGCAAAATCCTTTTACCATCTATGATGACATATGACAGCAACACCATAGAGTGAAGGTCGTGAAGGCCATCTTAGAATTCTGTCTACCCCACTAATGGGCATTTCTGTTTAGATTTCTTGATATTACTTAACATGCCCAGAACCTTT